TTGTTGTTGACCCGATGCATCAAGGACTGCGCGGCCCTTAAGTCGGAGGCGGCGCGCTCAAGCTGTGCTTCCATCATGGCCATCTTATCATTTTGAGTCTGGATTAGGACCTTGCGTTCCTGTTCGAACTCGAACTGTTCATTCCAGTAGAGACCTCCTTCTTCGTCAGTGAGGTCCTGATCGAACTCGATGTCTGCGTCGTTTCGACGAGCCTGGAATCGATCTCTTCCTGCGGGTGTGCTGTGATTCTCTGAGGTGCGTGTCCTGCGTGGATTGTTGTTTCTGCCGACCGTCCGCGCGATCCCACCTGAAGCAGCTTGGCGTTCCTGCGCGATCCTTCCTGAAGCATATTGGCGTTTTTACGCGATCCTTCCTGAAGGAGCTGGTCCTGTGCCCGTTGTTCCATTGGCTCGCTCCGGAGTTGGATCCGTTGCCTGCAGCGGCGGGGACGGTGGTAGATCTCCCAGGGTTCTTCGCGCAGTGCGCGGCGTTGAAATGCTGAGGGTGTGCGGTCTGAACCGCCTGAGTGACCACCGCGGTCCGCAGGTCCTGGTGGTTTTCTTGCGAGCCTTGCTCGCCGTTGTAAGAGACTTCAGCTTGTCTTCATGATATGATGTCCTCTCGAGCAGTATCTTCATCATGTCTCTTAGCTTGTTCAAGGCTGTCTGATTCGTCGTGGGGACATTGACATCGTCGTCACCTGTCTGGCTGCGCATGGCGGCCGTGCCGTCTGGCTGTGACGCCGAGGAGTTGTCATTACTGTTGTCGCTGCTGGTTATCTTCTCTGGTCTAATGTGCGAAGCGATTCCTTTGTGTCAGAAAGTTTCTGTTCCCTTTAGACGGTGCCAAACTATGAGAGTCGGATCTACATAGTGAAATTTGTCAAGGGTGTTTGGGGATTAGAGATATCTATGTCGCAAACTCACTTAGAACAAAGATTAATAATAAGAATTCTTTATTGCTGTTTCTGTTAAGCTGTGATTATAAGAGAGTTTTTCTGCCAAAAGGTCTGAACCCCTTTCTTCGGTGAATACAATGAGATATATATAGTGTTAAGTAAGTGGGCCAGCTAATACAATGGGCTTGACCCATAAAACAGTCTATCTAATTTAGGCCCATAATTACATTAAGCCCATTTTGATTATGGGTTTAATGTCATTTTGGGCTCAGATTCAGACTGGATCCTTGTAAACTTGATCTGATTTCTTCAGGATACGGCAGAGTTGATCTCGTCGTTATATCGATCTCATAGGGGAGAAATCCGATCCCTACAAAAATTATTTTTAATTATTAAGTAACAATGTT